AAACATTACTAATTATTTGAGGTTATGTGCATCAAATGTCAAACTATATATCATTTCGAAAAGTTAAATGTCAACACTTTAAAACCACAAAAAAGCGAGAGAATATTTCAATTTCAAATTTTGCTCTGAGCTATGTAAATTTCATCGGAAAGAATTAACTATTAGACTCAATAATTCACATAAGATTCTGCAAAAACTTACATTACTTTAACACGTTGACTATTATAGTGACTCTCACTGATTATTCTAACGCTTAACTCAAATTTGGACCAAAGATGTCGATCGTCAAAGGTACAATAAATAAATTAATGCACTTTACGATGCATATATTCATGACCTCGTTTTGTTGGTTCTCTATGGGCTGTACATACATTTAATTTGTTATGCGCAATTTTATGTATAAATTAACGAGAAACAATAAAATGATTAGCGGTGGCAAACGACCTGTATTGTAATCAATATATTAAATATTTATACCTGGCATTTTTTAATTTTTGGGTGTGCCCATTTTTTTTCACTCACCAGAATACGAAGAACTCAATTACATTTCGCTTGCAAATTTGAAGAAAAAATATACCATTTCGCAATTAGACTCCAAGACCTTTCTCTTTTTTTGTTAGTAACAAAAAAATAGCGCATATACAGAGAAAAATTAACTGTAAAAATTTTGCTTGTATAAATAAAATCCGCTCGAGAAAAATGTTAAAGGCAATATTGAAAAAAATTACGTTATTGCTGCGACAAATTATTATTTAATTCAATAGAAAGTTAGTCAACGATTGCATGAGCGCGATTTATTGTTGCCTTAATACGTAATTTGCTCGATAAATATGATACTCGAGGCTTTGAGTTATAAATTCGCGTTATTTGAGTTATAATAAATTCGCAGTCTCGCCGTTTCTTATAAAGAAAATAAAATTTCTTATAAAGAAAATATAGAGTTTGAAGAGTTTAGAAGAGCGAAAAAAGCCGTTATATTGAAACATACGATTATATAAAACGAAGAAATTTGTAAACTGCATAAATAAATATAATAAAATAATAAATATAAATAATACAAATAAATATAAATTTTATGTTGAAAAGATCTTTTTATATATATTACATTAATGTAGAGACGTGGAATGTTTATCAAGAGTGTTTGTGTGACGAACGGCAGGTTTGTCCTCGTCACACAGAATTATATTTTATTTATTTGAACAAGTAAGATCGTCGGTTTTGTTGATTTAATCGCTTTCTTTTTCCAATATACGAATGTGTTTCTTTATATTCATAATAAGACGATTTTTATTAATTATACCTCAATTTTTTATTATATAAAATTACATGGGGAAGTACAAAATCCTAATAAACTTACCTCCGATCCAACTCTGTTCGGCCCGAAGTTAGATTAGGCTTGTCTGGATCCTTTGCTGATGGATTTGGATCTTTTAGCGAAACTGCGGCCTACGGAAAAATGTTACCATGTTGTAGTAAAATTTATTTAAGACGCAAACATGAGTGCAATAATGAATTATAGATTAGAATCGACTTATTGAATAATTGCTTTGGTATGAAAATTTCGAAAAAGAGACAGTATTTTTATCAGCACTTTTATGGAGCCACATTAGCAAAATATTATGCTATTTTATTTAACTTTGCATAACTTGAAAGAGGCTGAATAAAATGTCAAGTAATGAACAAAACACTCAACATATATTCGTGTGATAATATGCTTAAGTTTAAAAATAATGAGGAAATATGTCTAACTAAATGTTAAAATGTACCTTGGGAAACATTTCAAAATGCTCGAAAATAAACATGCGTTATAAAGATTAGCTATTGTGTACTACGTATTGATATATTAGCGTTACTGTGTTAACGGCGAACTATTGAATAATTGATTCCATAAGTAATAACTGGAATTCGCTACTTAATAACAGAGATGTTGAGAGTGGCCGTAATACCTATAAGAGCCATAATACCAACTTCTCTTCTATAATCTTTTGATTATCTATATATATAAGATGTTTCAAACATCAGAAAACATTTTACGCGAATTTTCTTAATTCTCAGTACGCCATGTTGTAATTGTTTCATCTTTCACTGCGACAGATTTGCCAGAACTGGTCAATGTAAGAATACCTTTTCTTGTCACTGCCAACTACAGTCCTATTTGAAGATTCCCTAATTTAGTTTCTAAATTTATTAATAATCACGTGATGGATATTTTTTTGAAGAACTTTTTAGTTTGCAGGAATAATATAATATTTTATGTAATATAATTTGATATAACATATTTTATATAATGTTTTATATAATATAATATAATTTTACGGGTGTGCTCATGATAGCTCGGATAGCTCGAGGTCCCGGAACTGGAAGCGAAAATGAAAACGTGGCGGAGTCGTAATTTAACCATAATGAAACATATTTTTAACTGAACATTGAACGTAATTTAACACAGTTAAATCGAATCGGTTGTCGAGTCATGCCTACCGGCCCACCGGAATTCCATTCTATCGGAAATATCTAACCTGGAACAATTATCTCGGACAAAAATGAATTGCAGGAATGAGTTTCGTTTGCTTCAACAAGAAATAAGTCTCCTCTTTGTTCTTCGAAAGACTTCTAAGAGAAAAGAAACGAGTGAATTTTTCAGACATAAGATATATAAAAATTCCCCTAGATTATGAAACTTAACCTAAGAGAGAAACTCAGAAACTAAAATTGAATGTGACGAGGCTCTGATTTGACGCAGCCCCGAGGGTTCATAATTCAGTACAATGGCGCTGAATAAAATAAAGCGAGCTTACATGGCGCCAAATTACACCGACTACTGTCTCGCAGGATACACTTGCTGTACTACCCGATGGACTTTCCGGATTACGGCGTATAATCGCGGCAGCCACGGCTTCCGCAGTGTAGTACATCACGCCGACAGACTCTACCACGTCTCTCTCGAAATTTCCTGCGAAATTACACACAGCGCAGTCGATCTTGCAGTCAAGCGAGTCATTGTAATATCCCGGCCAAATAAGCCCGTTTACGAGAGTCTTGTTTATGAGTCGAAACTCATCGACGGTCGTGATATTTTATTGAAATGAGCGTTGCGCGTCTCGAAGGACACACGGATGAGACGTTCGCCTCGTAACACGTGCCTGAGGAACGGAGGCGGAGAGAGAGCGAGAAGGGACCGGCCATGCAATTTATTGCGTATACTTCTAACTTCTTGGACTCTCGAATTTCAGAGGACAGTGGATTTGCTGTTTCACGCGACCACGTTCCTCGAATAGATCCGACCCCGTTGCCGCTTATAATGCCGCACTGTCTGCTCGCGATGATCTTCGTATCCCTATCGCTGTCGAAGTTTCGACGCTCAGTCAAGTAACTCGGCTGAATTGTCGCTCAACCGCCTTTGACGCGGCAAATGTGATGAGAAGAGAGGAGAGGTTCGCCGAGAGACTCTTCGTTTCTCTGCAAATTGATACTGAGGACTCGCAAAAATTCATTGGAAGCTTCTCGCCATATTTCTTCCGTGGGTGATAACGAAACAGTAGCCTGCGCTAGCGGTTTGCCGCTGCAAGGGGACGTGTCATCGTTAACCCGGCCGGCGGAAGGAATTTTCCGTCAAAAAACGAGTATATGACCAGATAATCTGTTTGCGTTAGATTGCTTGTCCGTTGAGTCTCCGTTTATCGAGAGCAATCGAGCGCTCCCGATAGGCGATAATTTGTAATTCATCGGACGAGTGCAATACTGCGATGAAAGGGTATAATGGCCGATAAGAGCTCAATGGCGCGTTTAGATGCCAAGTAACGTGCCAGTGACACTAATTCCGACAGCGATAAGATAAATGTTACGTTGAGGTCCCGTTATAAGTATCTAGACTAATAAACTCCAACATGAAGAGAAATAGAACGAAACGTAGCGAATCGAATCTTAAGAAGCAAACTCGTTAATCCTCGTTAACCCCTTAAGCTGTTGATGATGGAAATATCCGCGGAAAGAATAATGACTCAAACTGTTGACGGTGAAAATATCAATTTTCATGCAAATGGAGCGGAATTAAATATTTCGTCGTCATATTGAATCTGTCTTTTTTGTGTAACAAATTTTTATCTTGGAAACGGAATCAGAGAGATTTTGAAAACCCATCAAAATTATTTTTTATGTAGATTGAACTGTTTGCCTATTCTATCGAATCTGCCATTTTGAATTCATGAATTTTTGGCTTAGATTTGAAATCAGCGGCTTCAAAAACCTTTGCATTCTAATTTTTATGCAAATCGAATGATTCCTGGAATTTTCGGTCCGTCATATTAGATCAGCCGTTTTGAATTTAGCAATTTTGATCTTGGATTTGAATGAAGCGACCTTAAGAACATAAAAATATAGTATCCTATTTCAATTGCTTCGTTGTGAATTATATTTTTTTCAGAATGTATGGATATTTCCGCCATTAATAGCTAAGGGGTTAACTTTCTAAAATGTGAAAGGATTCGAGAGAAAGGATTTGAGAGAATACTTCCCATACGGCACAGAAAGTTGCAGCAACATTGTTGCAACGTTGTAACAATGTTGCAATGTTTCTGCAACTTTTGTGCTGTATGGGTTCCGATAATAATACTTTCTTATTAATTAAAACGGAAAAATTATTTCCGTCGAAAATATAATATCCCTTGGCAAAAATTAGAAGCATGAATCGAATTATTTAAATGCCTTCATCTTGGTTTGAGAGATCGTGCGCAATAACGGAGGTTGAAGTACGCTGTTTAGAAACTCTCGGTTGCTCATTATCGTTATCTCATTAACATCATTAGCATTTTTTACTAAATAATAACAATATGCACCCGTGTAATGCGGCTCCTCAGAAAAGGAGAGAAAGTGAGAGCGAGAGAGAGTGAGAGAGAGCGAGAGCGAGAGCGAGAGCGAGCGAGAGAGAGAGAGAGAGAGAGAGAGAGAGTCTTCTAATTAATTAACTAAGCTTTCTAATTAACTTGGCATTGAAATCTTCTTAGCCTGCCTAATAGCTATCGGCGTCGGTAACGCTCTGGCGTGGACGTCTCCTGTGCTACCCCAATTGTATCAAGCAGACTCTTGGCTAACTATCAGCGAGGAGGAAGGGTCGTGGGTGGGCTCGTTACTGGCTCTAGGTGCGATAGCGGGCGCCGTGCCATCTGGACCGATGTCGGACAGACTCGGCCGTAAGAAAGCGCTCCTCCTGCTGTCGGCTCCGTTTCTACTGTCCTGGGCGATCATCATACTCGCCTCCCGGCTGTGGTTGATTCTCGCGGCCCGATTCTTAGTGGGCGTCGGGGTCGGGGCAGGCTGCGTCCTTATACCGATGTACATATCCGAGATCGCGGAAACATCGACACGTGGGACACTCTGCGCCTTATTCCAGTTGTTCCTCACCATCGGCATTCTGATGGCCTTCGTATTCGGATCCATGATGAACTACACGGCGTTTGCTATAGTCTGCTCACTCGTGGAGGTCAGCTTCTTGGGTACCTTCTTATGGATGCCGGAATCGCCCGTCTGGCTGTTGGTACGTTGGGTCAATTAAGGAGTAGGATCGATAAGGACGTTTTTCTCTCCTTGCAGAATTTCCAATAAACGACTTTTTTTGTATTATGTGATTATCGGGAATGTCAAAGGTAAACATTAGGTGAGACTCGACCCATAAAGCCAAAGTGAATAATTAACTCAGATATATCATTATGGTGTCTAAGCCCTTTTTATGACTAATGTGGACTAATATCTTCGCTCATTATGCTTCTTAGCCATCATATTAACATTTCAGACCGTCAAGAGATTTTGAAAATAGTATAAATGATGCTGCTCATTATTTATCCTATTCGACAGATGAAGACAAGAAAGAAGAATTGTCAAATTTTGAACATCCATCAGAAGATGCTTAACTCTTTGACACGAAGAATATTTCTACATTTCCATCCACCAACTCGATAATTATAAATATAATTTCTAAATTCCTAGAAAAAATTCAAAAAAGAATTTTTATTTCCTTTAATGTTGTCGCCACATTTTATTGTTTTTATTGCTCTCTGTCTTTAAATTTTTTACCTGCCAGCACAACTGGCATCCTAATTTGCCGGAATAAATGTTCATGCCAGCTGTGCTGGCATTCCAAGTGCAAAGGATTAAAATTCAAGATCATAGTGTTAAAAAAAAAGAAAAAGACAGAAAAAGGAAAAAAATTAAATAAAAGGAAAACAAAAAATAGAAAACAAAATAAAAAAATTACAAAAGAAAAAATTAAAACTTCTACAATGATCACAATCTTGACGCGATGTAGAAATTTAATTCTTTGCTCGAGGAATATTTCCACATTTCCTTTCACCAATTCGATAATTATAAATATAATTATTATAAATATTATTATTGCCATGAAGAATTTTTAGCTGAGGAAAGGTAACGTTAAAATTTATTATTTATGCATAAGTTTATTGACAAAATTTATCAAATTTTATATCTTATAGTTTTATAAAGTGTGACAACGTTTTTTTGCTGTATTTTATTGTTTTATTGCTTTTTATCTTTAGATTTTTTTTATGCCAGCATACCTGACATTTCGAGTTGCCGCGATAAATGTTCATACCAGCTATGCTGATATTCCGAGTGCAAAGGGTTAAGTCTATAATAGTGATCACCTATTTGTTATTGGCACTTTTATGTCAGGAGTAATAAAAAATAAATTGTTCATTATGAGTTCTATTCAGTTCCACCTTGGGAACGATACATGTTATAGTCTAAAATGATGCCAGAGAAGTATATTGAGTAAAAACATTTTATTAATTCATTCGTTAGTCATGAAAAGGGTTTAGGTACTATAATGACATATTTAAACGAATAGTTAGTTTTAGCTTTATAGATCCAGTTTCTTTCTTACCTAATGGCTTTGACATTTCTTCATGATTATATAATAGAAAAAAATTGTTTCTTGAAAATCCTGTAGGGGCCGAAAAATGTCCTTATTTGTAAAGTTTCCCGCTATTGCATGGTGCATTACTTTGTAATGACAAGTTATCCTCTGAACAATCTTCCCGGAAGACGATTTTGTGCCTCGGCGAAAATGTCTCGGGGTGGACGCTTCTTTTTGCTTTTCTTTCGAGTTTTAACACTCTGTATCTGGAATTAAAAATTCATCAGAGCGGAAGCCTCATTTGAAGTTTGCCGAAGAACGTAATAGTGGGATATCCAATTAGTCTCTCTGAAGACCAATCCGCAGAAAGTCGTCTTTGTTCCATCGCTTGTAACGTGAAATTACTGATTTGACGCTGAAAAAGAAATAACTTGAATTTTAATTTTTGGTGAAAACGAGAACACTTTTCCATATATTATAGAACGTAAAGCGAGATGACGAAGCTAAGTTAGCATTGACGGTCCTGCGAGGCGACACTTACGATCCATCCGAGGAGCTCGCGGAGATGCGACGGGCAGCGGAAGAGGCGACGTCGAAGAAGTCGAGCATATTCAATCTCATACGCGACTCTGCGACCAGAAGAGCCATGTTAGCCACACTCGGTGCCATGTTCTTCCAGCAGATGTCCGGTATAAATGCGGTGATCTTCTACACCACTACTATCTTCGAGGCATCCGGAAGCTCGATGCCGGCGGAGATCGCTTCCATAATAATCGCGCTCGTTCAGGTGTGTTTATTGATAAAAATGGCGGGGCTATGTGTCAACCTGAGGCGGAAATTACGTTAGAAAACTTTCCCCCGAGATAGAACTTTCAGAGTTCACAGGCGAATATTCCTCTGAGCATAAAATTTAAGCTGCAATTCTCGCTGCCCGTTCGAAACAGTTGATGTAAGTTTATTAAAATATTACTTTGTTTCTTATACAGCCCCTCGAATTATTTATTTCCCTCCCGGAACTTTTTCATCCGCGTGGAAATTCTTCTTTCGCATTCTGCGCACTCGCATCTTGCCTCGTATCTCGCATGATTGTCATCAACAACGTAATTGTTAGATGCGGTTTACTCGAGGTGTCATTGTTGCCAGGCGGTGATGTCAGCCGTGGCAGCCGTGATTGTGGATCGCGCAGGCAGGAAGCCGCTGCTAATATTCTCGTCAGGCGTTATGTCAGCCAGCCTTGTGGCTCTCGGTCTGTACTTCAAGATTAAGGATGACGGCGGAGACGTCAGTACGCTCGGTTGGCTGCCGCTCACATCTCTGACATTATTTATGATCGTCTTCTCCGTCGGGTAAGCCTTTTAACAAACTCAATACAATGATAAGATACTTTAATGGAAATTTAATACTGGGAATTACTAGGAAATTTGCAGCAATTAAATACTGCCAATATTTCAGTAATTATTTGTGGCCAGTGTTTAATTGCGAATCCTTGTGAATTTATTACGTTGTTATTGAGGAATACTGGTTGTACTAAATTAAACAGAAATAAGCCATGTAGATTAATGCTTGATGTTTCTGTCTACATAATAAAAAAATATGTCTTCTCATGATTTCAACTTAACGACTACAATAGATTAGATTAAAAAAAAACATAGTATAAAACAATTTATAATGATAACGGAAATATTCATGCTTATCTTTCTCGTTAAAAATTTATATTGTTTTTGCAAATATTTATCTTTAAAATATTACTTATAATATTCGGTAAATAAATATAACTTTGCTAAAACAAGTTCCCGGTACGTTTTGAGACTGCAAGAAACGATATACGAAATATAATATAGGGAAATATTGTAAAAAAACCCAGTATTAATAATTGTTTCTTAAGGTATTAATATGAAATATTAATTGCTTAAGGTTTCTTAAGCTATTAATATGTAATAATATGAAATATTATTAAATTACTCTGAAATATTGGCAACTCTTATTTTAACCTTTTGTATCCTGACGGTACTACAGAGTACCGCTCTATATATGCGTTCTTGAACCTTTTTCCCGTGTCTTATCCTACATTCCTATCGGTATTTACAAGTACCACGTCAAAATTTAATCGTTGAATTGTTATAAAATTTATTTTCTTGTTTCTTATGTTTATGATATGCCAAGAGTTATTTAATTACGCAAAAATTTAATAAAGGTCTTGGGTAAATTAATTTAGGATATAAAGGGTTAATAACCGTTGTTTAAATACTCAAAATTATCAGTGACTATAGTAATAAAGCTATTGAGTAACATTAATTTATTACTGATCAACCAATAATTCTCTGTGATAGTGTTTAATGACTTTAATACTGAAGTACTAGTGATCACTACCAACTCAGTAATTAAATCTATAGGAATTACTAACAATTGTACGTTTAATACACAAAATAAGTAATACACAAAATAAATTAATCACTAACCTTGCAGTATTAAATTTTTATAAGAGCATAATATAACAACTATACGAATATAATTATATGGATGGGTATTTTATTATCTGCTTATATTTCAAGATATGTATGTGTGTGTGTTTACGTGTTTAGTTATTTTTTATAGAGAATTATGATATAAATCAGTTCCTATTATAAAATATCGAAATTCCGTCGGAAAAATTGTTGTGGTGACCTTATTGTGATTTTAAAAGAGATTCTCAAAATCAAACAAAAGTCAATGTCTTATGTTATCCTTTCGAACCAAACAATTTTTTTTTCAAAAATTTCTCCTAAAAATCTCTTGTTTGCGAGATATTATATTTTTTATATCTTCCTTATATTTTTTTAATTTTTATACATTTTGTATATTTTATAATCTATATTTTATATTATTATCAACATTATATTATTATCAACAAACCTTATATCTTGCATCTTTGTATAAGTGTTTTGAACAAAATGTTGAGCAATTTTTCTTTTCACATTTTATTTCCTTTTGGGTTCTTATATCAGATTTCAAAAGATGAGAAAATAATCAGTGCATAACGTTTGGTAAAGGTTACTTGAGAGAACATATTGTGTATGACGAAATATAATTTAATAAGATATACATAACATAACTTAATAATAATATTTCTATTATATTATTATTATTATTATTATTATACTATTATAATAATATAATATAATAATGTTATATTACCATATTATTATGACAATATTGCTATTATTATATTATTGTACTACTATAATATGATATATATATATTACCATATTATCATGATAACATTTCTATTATATATATTATTATTATTCTATAGATGATATAATATAATAAAACATAAATAACATAACATGACGTAACAACAATAACACTGATAACATTAATGATAACGATGATTATAATATTTCTATTTCATGATGTCATGTTTTGCGTGTAGGTTGGGTCCGATACCTTGGATGCTGATGGGCGAGCTGTTCACCGCCGAGAGCAAGGCGGTCGCTTCCGGTGTCGCCGTGATGCTGAATTGGTTTCTGGCCTTCTTGGTGACGAAAACCTATCCGGCGTTGAACAAGGAACTAGGCACGGACGTCACCTTCTGGATCTTCGCTGTGATCATGGCGGTGTCGGCCGTGTTTACGTACTTCTTCATACCGGAGACAAAGGGCAAGTCCTTCCAGGAGATTCAGGAGGAGCTGCAAAATGGCGGCCGGCTGAAGACAATTGCGTGAAGCGAGCACGCCTGTAGGCTCTTCGCACTGGCACAACACGTTGTGCCGCGACCGTTGCTATTTCAGCCGATGTGGCGGCAACATTGATCGCGGCGTAGATAATTTAAGACGTTGTTTATGGAGTAGCCGCAAACTCCGCGAGCGTAAAATGAAGACTTTGTGGCTACGGAACACGAGGCGATAAACGCGGCGGCGAAACTTTTGCATTTGCTTTAAGAGCGGCGCGTAAAGGAAAGAAACGCCCAAGTCGCTGCGGAAGAATGCTAAATCTCGCTAAACGAATAAACTATATCGGCCTTTTAGTGGCTGGTTGGTAGACCATGCTTTACTTAATGTTTAACGGCATTCTTGCCTTCCTCGGTGGGAGTCTCTCCTGTGCGCTTCCATATGGACCGATGGCATCGGTCGCCACCCATGTTGAAATTCCCGTCACCGCATTTGTTCGTTAATTATTAATTAAATACGTTCACGCTGTCACCTCTCACTTATATTTACGGTTGCGCAATCAGTCGATCGCCGCGATCGAGTTCCCTCTTACGATCCTAAGTCGTTAATCATATATTCCTAATCTGACGCCACCTGACGATTAGCGTCGAACGCGTGAATATATACGAGCGTTTTCGATCTAGTTCCAAGAGAATTTATTAATAATTAGTTCAGATAAATGACATTTTGTACTCGTGGTAGTGAGCGAGGATCAATGTGACGATGGCGAATGACGGATGGACCGATGTGTAACTAATTGAACGAAATAAATAAATTATACGTATAAACATTTGTTCTGCAATCCATCCCGAAAATCAGAGGTGCAAACCCATGAGGAAAACTAGTAATATCGTTATGAAATTTCGAACTATTGGCCATGTCCTGTAATTGCGTATAAAGCGAAAATTTGGAATTTCCAGAATTTAACAAAACTGTCAACTGAAAAATTAACCGCAAAAAGACAAAACATTGTTAATTCAGACGGGAAATATATATTGGCTCAAACTTGTTTGTTGCCAATTAAAGCACGAGAGTAAATAAAGCACTTTTAAACGAGTAAATAAAGCACTTTTAAACGAGTAAATAAGGCACTTTTCTGGCCCTACAGGATTTTCAAAAAACAACTTTTTTTGTTGGTATTGTATGATTATGAGAAATGTCAAAAGCAACCATTAAGTGAGAAAGAAATTCGATCTATAGCGAAAATATCTATAGCGGTCTATAGCGATAAAGCGAAAATTAATTATTCGCTTAAGTATATCATTATGGTATCTAAACCCTTTTCATGACTAATGAATGGATTAATAAAATATTTTCACTCAATATACTTCTCTGGCACTATATTAACGTCACTTTAGACTACAACATATATTGTTTCCAAGGTGGAAGTAAGTAGAACTCGTAATGAACAATTTATTTTTTATTATTCCTGACATAAAAGTATCAATAAGAAATAGGTGATCACTATTACAGACTTTGCACTCGGAATGCCAGCACAGCTAGGACATTTATTCTGGCAATTCGCAATGTCAGGTATGCTGGCATGAAAAAAATTTTAAAACAGAGAGCAGTAAAATAATAAAATGTAGCGACAACAATGATGTCACACTTTAAAAAACTATAACATGTAAAATTTGATAAATTTTGTCAATAAATTTATGCATAAATGATAAATTTTAATGTTTCTTTTCCTCAGCTAAAAATTCTTCGTGACAAATTATAATTATATAATTATATTATTGATTATATTTTTAATTATCGAGTTAGTAAAAGGAAATGTGGAAATATTTCTCGAGTGCAAAGAGTTAAGCCTCCACTGCGTCAAGGTTGTAATCGTTATATAAGTTTTAATTTCTTCTTTTTTAATCTTTTTTATTTTACTTTTTATTTTTTGTTTTGCTTTTATTTAAGTTCTTTTCATTTCCTGTTTTCTTTTTTTTCTTTTTTTTTAAACATTAAGATCTTAAATTTTAACTTTTTGCACTCGGTATACCAGCACAGTTAGCATGAACATTTATCCCGGTAAATCGGGATACCAGCTGTGCTGGAATGAAAAAGATTTAAAGACAATAAAACAATAAAATGCGGTAACAATATTAAAGGAAACAAAGATCCTTTTTTGAACTTTTTCTGGGAATTTAGAAATCATATTTATAATTATTGAGTTGGTAGATGGAAATGTAGAAATAGTTTTCGTGTCAAAGAGTTAAACATCTTCTGATGAATGTTCAAAATTAGACGATTCTTCTTTCTCGTCTTCATCTGTCCAATAGAATAAATAATGAGCGGCGTCATTTAAACTATTTTCAAAATTTCGTGACGGTCTGAAATGACATTAATATGATGGTAGAGAAGCATAATGAACGAAGATATTAGTCCACTTATTAGCTATGAAATAATCATAGAATACAATTACAATAAAAAATTGCAATAACATTATAATAAAACTTTGTCTTTCGAAAGTCCTATAGGAACCAAAAAATTTCCTTATTGACTCTGCTCCTTTGGGATTAAAATTTTCTCACTTATTCGTGGAACGACCGATATTACACAATCGATATATATGTAACTGATCAATATTTTATCATAGATTGTTATCTGGACACAATGAACCAATTCCATAATATCAATCTGCGTTCTATTCGTTCACTCACTTCGAGCTTATTCTTTTCGCAGCGGTTCGTGAAAACGAACGAGCAGCTAAGATAAACAATTCCCGAGGCGATTAACGTAATGCAGTACGCATTAGCCGCATTCTTTCCGCAAGTTACGTGATAAAGCGTGTCATTATCTCGCTCTAGAACAGGATAAACATTGAGCGCTCTCCCGACTCTCTCTCGGGAATGGAATTTTTAATGCAAAAACCAGTTGCAACTCTAGGTACGTTTTACGTCACTTATCTTTTTTTTCGCCCCGCGATTATCGTCTCTTTGAGACGTGTGTCTCGTGCGATAACGCGGATTGCGATGAGCCACTTAGATTAAGCTTTTGCAACCAATTCGTTACGGATCTCAACGTCCGCACGTCCGTGTCGTTTCGGAATGAAATGTATTTGCATAAATCACATGTCCTCTCGCTCGCGACGTTCGAGCTCGAGGAGTAATTAAAACTGGCAGTACATCGACGGATCTTGATGGGATTTACGATTGCATTCAGCCGGGACTCTCGAGGAGGCACTTTTTGCGCAGTTTACCGCCGCCTTCTACTCGCCGGTAACGCGAGACTCGCAATTAGAAATGTTTCGTGCGGATTGTCGCCACGCGTCGCCGTTAATTGTCCTGCGGATTTCAACGGAAGCTTGTTGGTTTTTTCACGCATACGGATACACACTCGCGGCGGCGTTTCGTTAGCGAGCCGCGATCTTCCTGCCGCGATATTCAGCCGCGCGCACCCGCCCTGGAACTTTCCCTTCAACAAGTGGTCTTGATAAAATAGTCTAGATAAAGCAGGCTGAAAAATACCTTCGATAAAAAACAATTTATTGAATCGGCCAATGCGGCGTGATTCAGTCCTGCGTCGCTCCAAGGTTATCGCTTCTGGAAAGTGCAGAGTTTATCGCGACTTTTCCGGAACTCGCGATGAGACGAGATTAACGAGATTAGGGAGGAACGCAAGGTATCTCTCGCGCATTCTCGCGCGGGAAAATCTCGAATCTCGAAATATGCGCGTAATTGCGCGCTCGATCTTCCTCGTTGATTGAGAACGATAGAAAACTCCGCATCGCGTGTTGATGAAGCGAAGCTTCGGACTCGTATCCTACAGTCGCAGAACAATGCTGTTTTCGAAGTCGACACAGGTGCTCCTCCAGGTGGATAACAAGTAGGAGTCGAGTAGGAAATTATTCAGCGTCGAAAATTAAAGGTGAACACGCGACACGGCTTCTCAATCTTCGCGGTAAACAGATTCACGCTAAACTTCGCTTCGGCTCTTCGAACTACAGTAGGTCGACGTATGGTAAATTTTTTTCATTTTTAGTGATTTTAACTAGCTTCTAGGCAGTCGTAGTCGATTATATTATTGTTATGCACTCTGAGAGAGAGAGAGAGAGAGAGAGAGAGAGAGAGAGAGAGAGAAGGGTAGGAGAGTAGAAATAAATAGCGTATGGTTTAAATATTCTCTTGCTAGAAACAAGTGAGAATAAAAAAGATATATATTAAAAAAAAATCCATTTGTGTGAGCAAATTATTAGGAATCGACGCATCGCAATATTAACAGTTTATTAAGGACATTCAACAGTGTTTTATACAAAACTTTTTTCCAAAACTTTTCGTATTCTCTCAAAGTGAATCAGTGAAACTCACTGTCAATCAGCGATTATACACTGATTGTCAGTACTAAGTATACCATTGAAAAATTCAGTGGTATATTTACGTTTCTTAGTATCTTTCGTATTTTTCGAGATTTTTTCCTGGCTCATTTAAAATGGGACGTCCTGTATAGAAAGATTCCATTGAGAAATCAAGATTTTTTATTAATCGGCCTGCCATATTGGATTGATCATTTTGAATTATAAAATTCTGACTTCAAATTCGTAATGGACGAGCCCTAAAAAAAAAAATATATATATATATATATCATAGATATATATATAATAGATACCACATATCAAAAAGTCCCATTGAAAAATAAAATGTATGACTTGCAAAGGATTAATAAAAACACGACTGTTCGCTAGATAGTGTCGGAATGTTGGCTCTTGGTGAAATTTTTACCATGTCGTAGAAACCGGACTCATCGAGGAATAATTAACGAGAGAGAATACGACGCACGCGTATAGCGACGGGATAGCTCTCGAGATATTCTATTTATAACGCACATAGAGAGACCGGAGATATGTTTCCGTCGTTGTTCATGAGTGATAGTGCGATCGCAATCTGTGCTTTTGTTTACATAAAACATGTTTGCTGGCGAAACAACGGCCCGCGCCGAGAGGGCAGCAGGTCGAGGCAGAAAAATAACCGGAGGACTTATTGTTCTCTTTGCTTCCTCGGAACAAGCGGCGCGGCGGTAATATCAGCGCGATAAGAGACGATATTTCTTTTTTTCCCATGGAACGACGAGGTAATGTCGTGATTTCTTTCGAAGTCCGCGAGAGGTTATAGAAAGCACTTGAGAAAGTTGTAAAATAAAATCATGCCTTCATCGCCGGGCGATAAGGACGTCGTCCGCATCTCTGGCTGTCGGTGGCATCTCCCGTTCACGTAGTTATCCTTCCCTCCCTCATTGCTTCCAAAGAAATTCAAGCGGGTTGAATTACGCGCCGAGTTGGCCTGACGCTAATGTACTTGGCTGATAAATAATAAGAGCAGGAAGCGAAATTTTTCAGCGAACAGCGCTGGTCGCTGGAAAGGCAGAACATTTCAAACGCAGCGAGCACGATTCGCGCAGCAGGATGACATTCTTTTATTTGTCGGAATGCATGCAATTATCGTCGCCGCGTCGGACAGTGTAATTTACCGCCGCATAATTGAATGGAGATATTGTATCAATTAATATCGACAGGGAACAAGTTTCGCTACGAGTTCGCACGCGGGGAAGATTGATACGCGCGCGCCAACTTTTCCATGCTGAGAGAGCTTGAGCGCGCGAGGTAACGCGGCCTTTTTTAGCGCCTTGAACGCAACAATGTATTAGGTTGGCAACAAAGTCATGTCGTTTTTTATGGATAGATGGCTTTACTTGTTATTAAACGCAACTAACTTCACTCCAAATCCTATAACCTTTATATGTATCATTTGACAGCTGACATTTTAAGCTTTCTTAACAAAAAGAAGTGCGTCATTCGGTAAAGAATTGATTGTTTGGCATTGAGTTAAAAATGGATAATTAAAACGAGCATTTCCGTCATATTTTACTTTTTTACTTCCAAAAAGGAAAGAACGCTGTGCAAACCCGTCAAAAGTTACGTGCTGTATATGGTGAGGAATCTTGAATAGAACG